TTTTTCTTCTTTTTTGACGGCATTCTTGTGTTCTGCGATACGTGCATTTATTCGTCTGTTTGTTTGTCCAATGTACGTGGCTGGGCAGACTTTGCAGGGTATTTCATAGACCCCTTGGTTTTCCAACTGGATTTTATCTTTGGGGTTTCTGAGGATATTGGCTATTTTTTGGTTGGTGCAAAAGGCTGTTTTGATATTGTGTTTATGGAGGATTTTGCTAATTTTATCTGTAGTGCCCTTGATATAAGGAAGGAGGGCCATGCCATTGTTTTCTTCTGTGTCTTGGTTTTTGGGGGGTGTTTCTTTTTGGATTAGCTTCGTAACCCTGTTTTGCTGGTATCCATTGGCGATTAACACATTTGAGAGATTCTGTAACTCAGTTGTCAAGTGGTCTTTGTCAGCCAGGCGTTTGGTTCTGGAGATGAGAGTCTTGGCTACGGAGTTTATTTGTGCAGGGTGGTGGTGTGATTGTGCATGTAAGTAGCGGTTGGTGTGTGTTTTTTTCCGGTAGATAGTGTGTCCTAGGGAGCCATCAGGTTTTTTGTAGATTAGGACGTCAAGGAAGGAAGTTGGTTTGTTGGCTTCTATTTGGGAAGTTGGTTGTTGGCTTCTAGAAGCCAACAACCAACTTCCCTTCCTTGACGTCCTAATCTACAAAAAACCTGATGGCTCCCTAGGACACACTATCTACCGGAAAAAAACACACACCAACCGGCTACTTACATGCACAATCACACCACCACCCTGCACAAATAAACTCCGTAGCCAAGACTCTCATCTCCAGAACCAAACGCCTGGCTGACAAAGACCACTTGACAACTGAGTTACAGAATCTCTCAAATGTGTTAATGCGCCAATGGATACCAGCAAAACAGGGTTACGAAGCTAATCCAAAAAGAAACACCCCCCAAAAACCAAGACACAGAAGAAAACAATGGCATGGCCCTCCTTCTTATATCAAGGGCACTACAGATAAATTAGCAAAATCCTCCAAAACACAACATCAAAACAGCGCTTCTTGCCACCAAGCCAAAAAATAGCCAATATCCTCAAGAAACCCCAAAGGATAAAATCCAGTTGGAAAACCCAGGGGTCTATTGAAATACCCCTGGCACAGTCCTGCCCAGCACGGGCTCACGATTGGGACTAAAGCAAACAGACGAATAAAATGCACGTATCGCAGAATCCACAAGAATGCCGTCACAAAAAAGAAGAAAAAACTCTCCTGCCTCTTTTCTTCCAACACATTGAAAAGAAACAGGACACCGAATTTAATTTTGCCAGATTCCCCAGTAATGCTCCTTAAACATGGGGACAGGTCAGCACCAAAGACAGAATAATCATGGAAAGCCATCGAGATAGAGAAACACCCTCACAACCATGAACAAGCGTGACGACACGTCCCGGCCTGCCAGACATCTGGAAATTAGCCCTCCCCACAAAAACCGACACCAGATCCAGAGGCACACAGAACGCCATCACCAATCAACCACACCAGACCCAAACCCAGACCCTCTCCACAGATAAATTACAGACACCATCCAGTAGCCAAACCATAGGTGGCACCTCCGGATGCTGCACCCCCCTGCAATCCCTACAACAGATCTGGCTGGCACAGGGCACAAACCACAGCTCGCCCCTATACCCGAAGCCAAGCCAGAGCACAACTAAGTGCAGTACAGCCATCTTCTCAGAAAAACTCTTCACAACAGTTCAAGAGGTCAAGACACGAAGGCTTTGAGCAACTTAATCCACACCTAATGACCCACCTAAGTGGTACTCAGAATATCACTCAGAAATCACTCAAGATATCCCTCAGTAATTAAGGAACAAAAGAAGAAAAGGCACACTAGCCTGGGAACTTCCTCTCTGCCCCAGAACATTGGAGGCTATACACCCACACCGGCCCCTCACAGATACTTTATAGTACGAAGGAAACTCAGAAAACACTCGAGGATCCTGCTCTGTTCCAGGTAACAAGAAGCCGAAAGCACCAGCCTGAAGATGACGAGTGAGACTCGTCGGGAAACGTCGCCTAGACACCCCAACCTTTTAACGACGGGAAGACACCCGAGGACACCAAACCTGCATTCCTGTACCCGTGAAAATCTACGAAAGCATATATATATATAATATATATATATATATATAATATATATATTATATATATATTGCTTTATATATAAAAGCTTGGAAGCTCCAGCTGCCTCCCCACTCCACTACTGACAAATAGAGATTTAGCTTTCTGTGGCAAACTTTAAACACCCACTGAAAAATGTGGGATTGGAACACATAGCAGTCAAGTACAACGTTTAGAGTCGGACTGCTAGGGGATGCTTTGTACACCCAGGAGAAAACTTCCTGTTTCCTCCTGAGCTGGGACAAGACTTCCTCTGCATATGACTAGAGGTGGGCGTGACTTACCTGCCCAGGTACCAAAAGGGGCAACGTAGACAGCACACTCCTCTTCTCATCTTGCTTTCGTCGAAGAAGCAACAGCTCTTCAGCTAGAGATGGTTATGGGATAGTTCCATGTGTGTATATTTGTAACCCAAGTCTGCCTCAGGATCCAATTGTGACCTGAGCAATGACGAACTCCAGTGGAAAAAACACTGCTCCGGGCTCCCAGCTGGCTTGGCCTTCCTCCTTCTGGAACGGCGCCTCCCACCAGCCTCGCCCCCCCTGAAGCTGCTCTCCGCTTCAGCACAAAGGGAAAGTCCTTTAAACTTGCCTTTGGAACTCTTCGCCCCTCCGATCTGCTCACTAGCGCTCCTAGAGGCCAATACATCGGGAACAGGGCCTGCCAGTCCAGCCTTTCCAGGACTCAGTCCATCACACAGACGTGTAGAAGCATTACAACAGCTTCCCAACACTGTCCCAGCCCCCATTGGGCTTTCTGGGCATCCTTCTGCCTCTCCAGGGCTTCCTCCAGGGCTCTGGCCTTTCGCTGACGCCTCACACAAGCCTTTCAGCAAATTCCAGGCAGCCCACGCTGTCGTTACGCCCTCCAACTGAGGCCCCAGTGACACATCAACGCATGCTTTGAGCATATTCAGCTCTTGTTGCAGCCTCTGGCTATCTTCAGCCAACACAGCCCCACAGCTTGCTTCACCTGCTCCAGCTGCTGGCCGGCTAAGGGGTGTTTCTTTTGGCTCCCACTGGTTTGCTTCCCAGAGCCCTTCAACCAAGAACCATCCCCTTATTCTCCTGGACCACGTTGCCCAACTCTTTAGAGTGAGCTTTTCCACTGGTATATCCTGGCTCTCAGCCATCTTCTCCCGTTCTCCCAAGGGGCCCCAAGCTGTACTCACAAGCTTCTCTGGCATTCCCTTCCGTGGAGAAACGATTTCTCAGCTGCTTTTCAGCTCCCAGCTGCTTCTTGCTTTTAGCTCTGTGTTCCAGCAGCTCTCTCAGCAGCTTCTTTGCCTCTTAGACGCAGGCAAACATCAGGCGAGACTCACTGAAAGCAGCCTCCGACATCCGGCCAGCTCCGTTTCTCAGATCCCAGCTTCAAAGCCTCCTGAAGCTGTTTTACGACTGTTTTACGAGCGTTGGCTGACCTCCATAACCTGTTCGGATAAATCGATCTGGCCCTTGATCGATAGAGCCGCGACTTCAGACAGCTTTACGGTCCCAATCAATCACTTACAGCGGTCCGGCACGCTTCCTCCCAAGCTGCGCAATAACTCCTGCTGTCTCTTCTCAGTCACGGCTTTTAGCAGAGTAGAAACACAGCGTGTAAAGCAGTCTTACTCCTTGTAAGCACACATAGACAGGTTCGTCTATTTACAGCTCTTTATTACAACATTTCAGCATCAAAGTCCGTCACTGCTGGCAGCCATTGCTGCAAACATGTCTCCCTCTCAGATACACAGAGGGAACTGAACTCGACTCCTCCCAGCTTCCAAAAGCTGACGTCAGAATTGAGGCATCATGGGAACAACTTAACCAGTTAAGTTCCAACTCCCATAGGGCGATGGATGGAACACAGTGCTCTAGCCAGAACAGTCAGCTCTGAATTGGTTCTGCCCAGTGATTTCGCTCAGTGATTTCGCTCTGTGATTCAGCTCAGTGATTCAGCTCAGTTCAGAGGCTGGCCGCATCTGGCTGTGCTCTGATGTCCATCAATCCCATCCTCGTCGCCAGTGTTACGTCGTGGGTTGACATAGCAGCCGGCACAGCGATTTCTTCAAGTAGCTCTTTATTATGGTAAGCTGGAATACAACTGACTGCGACAGCTCAGCCGGCCTGTATTTATAGGCAGCCGGCTGTCAACATTGTAACCACAACAGCCCAGAGTTCCCGCCTAAAATAACTGCCGCGGACCTGAGTGAAAACTATCTACAGACCTGAGTGAAAACTATATACAGTATCCCCCTGTTGGCCCAGGGTGAAACTACACTACATAACAAAAACAATTGATTGAAATACAGCTTAAAAATAAGATTAAAATACAACATTGAAACATTAAAATGCAGCCTCATTTCAGTGGAAACTCAATCAAAAACTTTTGGGGGGATAAAAACGTCAAGTCTTCACCAAGGCTAACTATCCAGACTAGTCCTACATGGGCCAGAAAAAAGCCAGGGAAGTCCCCAAATAGGAGTTCTATCACAGAAGGAGAAAGGAAAAAGGAAAGAGGGGAAGGGGATCAAGTTGATTCCAAGCCAGGTGGAACAACTCTATCATCATCATCATCATCATCATCATCATCATCATCAACATCATCATAATTTATTTATTATTTATACCCCGTCCATCTGGCTGGATTTCCCCAACCACTCTGGGCGGCTTCCAACAGAATATTAAAATACAATAGTCTATTAAACATTAAAAGCTTCCCTAAACAGGGCTGCCTTCAGATGTCTTCTAAAAGTAAGAGCCTCAGAAAAGCCCTCTCCTCCATGAATCTGTCTAGCCCCCTTTTAAAGCCATCTAGCTTGGAGGCCAACACTCCCTCCTGTGGCAGGGAGTTCCACAGTCCAACCATGCGCTGCACTTACACCGTCTCCTCATCCAGTTCCTCTTCTCCATGCAGGGTGTTCTCGGTCATGGAACATCGAGGCTCAGCTACGCAGGGGAAAGAGAAGGGGAGAGGACATGGCAAATGAGTGGGGGTCTTTTGGCCCCAGATAGCCTCAGAGCGGTGGGCATGGTGAGGCACAGAGCTTCTGCAGCAGGTAGCCCCTGTTTGCACCCGTGCCCAGTCCCCCATTTCTGATCCTTGTGGTGTATGAGTGAGCACAGCTGGGCATGTTGCCTGAAATACCTGGAGAAGCCCACTAGCCAAAACTGCCTGGAGAAGCCCCCCCCCCTTTAACTGCCTGTGGGTCAAGCTTGGAAGCTCCAGCTGAAATATAAAATATTAAAAAATGAATGTAAAATAATGTCTAAAATGTCTAAAATACTGTTGGAATGGCATTTGAAAGATGAGGAAGTGAAATGGGTAATGATACATTGGGCAAAAGACTTTGGATATAATATACAGCTTGAAGAATGGGAAAGGTTATGGAATGAAAGGATAAAATTTACAGCCTGTAATGCTTTTTAAAGAGAATATGATGAAAATGATGTATGGTATATTACACCAGTGAAATTAGCTAAAACGTATAAAACAAATAATAAATGCTGGAAATGTAAAGAAAAAGAAGGAACATTTTCTCATATGTGGTGGGAATGCAAAAAAGTAAAGAACTTCTGGGAAATGATATATAATGAGATAAAAAAGATGTTGAAATATACATTTTTTTAAAAACCAGAAGCATTTTTACTTGGTATCAGGACATTAATAGGCAAGATGTTAAATTGTTTTTATGTGCAACAACTGCGGCAAGAGTATTGTTAGCCCAGAAATGGAAGCAAGAAGAAATTCCGACGAAAGAAGAAAGGCAGACAAAATTAATGGACTACACAGAATTAGATAAAATGACAGGAAGGATTCGAAACCTGCGGGACCAGAGATTTACAGAAGATTGGAAGAAGTATATGAATTATTTGAAGAGCAACTGTAATCAACAAATTACGCTAGTAGACTACAAGAAGTTTTGTAAGGAGAAATATACGAAGTGTTACAAAGTAGGAAAAGATAGAGATATTGGCTATGAGTTTGAAATGTAATAGGGAGAATAAGAAATGCATATTGAGAGATTAGATTGGAAAATTTTCAGACAGGATTGATGGAAGTCAAAATAATTGAATAAGATGCAAAAGTATGTTTAATTACTGTTGAAAATGATATGTTAAAAAACTAATAAAAATTATATATATATATATATATATATGCTTTCGTAGATTTTCACGGGTACAGGAATGCAGGTTTTGGTGTCCTCGGGTGTCTTCCCGTGTAAAAGTTGGGGTGTCTAGGCGACGTTTCGACGAGGTCTCACTCGTCATCTTCAGGCTGGTGCTTTCGGCTTCTTGTTACTGGAACAGAGCAGGATCTCAGTGTTTGAGTTCCTATAAATACTGTTGAGGGGGTGTGGTGTATAGCCTCCAATGTTCTGGGCAGAGAGGAAGTTCCCAGGCTAGTGTGCCTTTTCTTCTTTTGTTCCTTAATTACTTGAGGGATATCTTGAGTGATTTCTTGAGTGATATTCTGAGTACCACTTAGGTGGGTCATTAGGTGTGGATTAGTTGCTAAAGCCTTCGTGTCTTGACCTCTTGAACTTTGTGAAGAGTTTTTCTGAGAAGATGGCTGTACTGCACTTAGTTGTGCTCTGGCTTGGCTTCGTGTATAGGGGCGAGCTGTGGTTTTGTGCCCTGTGCCAGCCAGATCTGTGTAGGGATTGCAGGGGGGTGCAGCATCCGGAGGTGCCACCATGGTTTGGCTACTGGATGGTGTCTGTAATTTATCTGTGGAGAGGGTCTGGGTTTGGGTCTGGTGTGGTTGATTGGTGATGGCGTTCTGTGTGCCTCTGGATCTGGTGTCGGTTTTTGTGGGGAGGGCTAATTTCCAGATGTCTGGCAGGCGGGACGTGTCGTCACGCTTGTTCATGTTGTGAGGGTGTTTCTCTATCTCGATGGCTTCCATGATTATTCTCTTGTGGTGATGTTCCATGTTAAAGAGCAATTTGGAATCTGCAAAATTAATTTCGTGTCCTGTTTCTTTCATGTGTTGGAAAAGAGAGGAAGTTTTTTCTTCTTTTTTGACGGCATTCTTGTGTTCTGCGATACGTGCATTTATTCGTCTGTTTGTTTGTCCAATGTACGTGGCTGGGCAGACTTTGCAGGGTATTTCATAGACCCCTTGGTTTTCCAACTGGATTTTATCTTTGGGGTTTCTGAGGATATTGGCTATTTTTTGGTTGGTGCAAAAGGCTGTTTTGATATTGTGTTTATGGAGGATTTTGCTAATTTTATCTGTAGTGCCCTTGATATAAGGAAGGAGGGCCATGCCATTGTTTTCTTCTGTGTCTTGGTTTTTGGGGGGTGTTTCTTTTTGATTAGCTTCGTAACCCTGTTTTGCTGGTATCCATTGGCGATTAACACATTTGAGAGATTCTGTAACTCAGTTGTCAAGTGGTCTTTGTCAGCCAGGCGTTTGGTTCTGGAGATGAGAGTCTTGGCTACGGAGTTTATTTGTGCAGGGTGGTGGTGTGATTGTGCATGTAAGTAGCGGTTGGTGTGTGTTTTTTTCCGGTAGATAGTGTGTCCTAGGGAGCCATCAGGTTTTTTGTAGATTAGGACGTCAAGGAAGGGAAGTTGGTTGTTGGCTTCTATTTGGGAAGTTGGTTGTTGGCTTCTAGAAGCCAACAACCAACTTCCCTTCCTTGACGTCCTAATCTACAAAAAACCTGATGGCTCCCTAGGACACACTATCTACCGGAAAAAAAACACACACCAACCGCTACTTACATGCACAATCACACCACCACCCTGCACAAATAAACTCCGTAGCCAAGACTCTCATCTCCAGAACCAAACGCCTGGCTGACAAAGACCACTTGACAACTGAGTTACAGAATCTCTCAAATGTGTTAATCGCCAATGGATACCAGCAAAACAGGGTTACGAAGCTAATCCAAAAAGAAACACCCCCCAAAAACCAAGACACAGAAGAAAACAATGGCATGGCCCTCCTTCCTTATATCAAGGGCACTACAGATAAAATTAGCAAAATCCTCCATAAACACAATATCAAAACAGCCTTTTGCACCAACCAAAAAATAGCCAATATCCTCAGAAACCCCAAAGATAAAATCCAGTTGGAAAACCAAGGGGTCTATGAAATACCCTGCAAAGTCTGCCCAGCCACGTACATTGGACAAACAAACAGACGAATAAATGCACGTATCGCAGAACACAAGAATGCCGTCAAAAAAGAAGAAAAAACTTCCTCTCTTTTCCAACACATGAAAGAAACAGGACACGAAATTAATTTTGCAGATTCCAAATTGCTCTTTAACATGGAACATCACCACAAGAGAATAATCATGGAAGCCATCGAGATAGAGAAACACCCTCACAACATGAACAAGCGTGACGACACGTCCCGCCTGCCAGACATCTGGAAATTAGCCCTCCCCACAAAAACCGACACCAGATCCAGAGGCACACAGAACGCCATCACCAATCAACCACACCAGACCCAAACCCAGACCCTCTCCACAGATAAATTACAGACACCATCCAGTAGCCAAACCATGGTGGCACCTCCGGATGCTGCACCCCCCTGCAATCCCTACACAGATCTGGCTGGCACAGGGCACAAAACCACAGCTCGCCCCTATACACGAAGCCAAGCCAGAGCACAACTAAGTGCAGTACAGCCATCTTCTCAGAAAAACTCTTCACAAAGTTCAAGAGGTCAAGACACGAAGGCTTTAGCAACTAATCCACACCTAATGACCCACCTAAGTGGTACTCAGAATATCACTCAAGAAATCACTCAAGATATCCCTCAAGTAATTAAGGAACAAAAGAAGAAAAGGCACACTAGCCTGGGAACTTCCTCTCTGCCCAGAACATTGGAGGCTATACACCACACCCCCTCAACAGTATTTATAGGAACTCAAACACTGAGATCCTGCTCTGTTCCAGTAACAAGAAGCCGAAAGCACCAGCCTGAAGATGACGAGTGAGACCTCGTCGAAACGTCGCCTAGACACCCCAACTTTTACACGGGAAGACACCCGAGGACACCAAAACCTGCATTCCTGTACCCGTGAAAATCTACGAAAGCAAATATATATATATATATATATATATATATATATATATATATATATATATATTTGCTTTATATATAAAAGCTTGGAAGCTCCAGCTGCTCCCCATCCACTACTGAGCAAATAGAGATTTAGCTTTCTGTGGCAAACTTTAAACACCCACTGAAAACTGTGGGATGTGGAACACATAGCAGTCAAGTACAACGTTCCTAGAGTGGACATGCTAGGGGATGCTTTGTACCACCCAGGAGAAAACTTCCTGTTTCCTCCTGAGCTGGGACAAGACTTCCTCTGCATATGACTAGAGGTGGGCGTGACCTTACCTGCCCAGGTACCAAAAGGGGCAACGTAGACAGCACACTCCCTCTTCTCCATCTTGCTTTCGTCGAAGAAGCAACAGCTCTTCAGCTAGAGATGGTTATGGGATAGTTCCATGTGTGTATATTTTGTAACCCAAGTCTGCCTTCAGGGATCCAATTGTGACCTGATGATACTGTGAGTAAATTCCTCTTACTGATTCTAAATAAGATTGTCGTATTTATTCTTTTTAAGAGGGAAAAAAGGGATTTACCAGGAATCCTATATTTAGAAGCTCAAACGAGCTTGCAACAAGCAAATTGCTGTACGTTTAAAGGGGAATGTTTAAAACTCTGCTAAGTTATAGAACTTGCTACAACTCCTGCCTCCCTGAACATTCCCACAAAAACTTTTCTATTCCACCAGGCCTCTGCAAACAATTAAGAACGCATCTTCCCACAAGGGTTAATGGATGCCTGAGTTTAACTCTTTTAATGGTTTTATTGCATGCTTGCTCAGGGTTTTGTAATTTAATACAAGGACCTTGAACATGTCTCAGCAGTGGGTGGGAGGTCAGTGCAACTGTTTTAACAATGGTACCACATGTTCTCAAACAGAAGACCCCGTCAGCAATCTGGATGCCCGCATCCTGCACCAGCTGGAGCTCCAGAACCAGACCTGAGGGCAGCCTCACATGGTCCAGTTACAGTAGTCCAGCTTCAAGGTTATCAGTGCATGGACTACATGGATTCATGAAACCTATGGAAAGAAGGAGTGCCCATCTTCAGGCCAGAGTGTTGGTCCTTTGATGGGGTGGAGCCTGGAGGTGGGAGTCTGGAAACAGGCAGCAAAGACTTTGACCAGCTCCTTCCAATCTTAGCTGGACCAAGTTGTTTGCTTGGAGCTGTCCATGGTCTAGCAATCGTTGACCAGCCTTCCTTCTTTCCCTGCAGGTTCTGGCATCAGATCAACTATATACTGTAAGACACACTTTTTTCTTCCTAAAAAGTAAGGGGAAATGTCTGTGGGTCTTATGGAGAGAAAGCATGGTCCCTGGAGCCGAATTGCCCAGCGGCAAAAAGCAGATCATGCTTTTTTTTTTTGAAAGAGGAAAGTGGGTGTTGAAACAAAGCCGCTGATCGTTTGCCAATCAGGAGGGAGATAAGGGACGCTAGCGATAAAGGAGGCTGCCTGGAAGGGGGAGGTAAAGACAGCAAACTTGCAAGCAGAGGAGACAGGAAGACTAAAGCAATGAGGAGAGAAATTAGAAGAAAAGGAGGAGCAAAAAACTGCTCCAGCTAAGGAAAAGACACGAAGGGAAACAAGAGGGAAGGGAGTGTTGAAAGGAAGCAGCTGATCGGCAAGCAATCGGTGAGGCTGCCTGGGAGGGGGGAGGTAAAAGCCCATGGATCCTCAGGATTTTTACATTGGGTCACCCCAAATTCACCATCAGATCACATAGCATGTCCATGGCTACAGCCTGCACCAAGAAAATCACGCACCCACTGTTTCGTGGGGCTGCAATAGTGCAAAAAAGTGGTTACAAAGCATGGATCCACATGGATTGTCAGGATTTTTGCATTGGGCTGCCCCAAACTCACATCAAATCACATGTCTGTGGCCACAGCATGAACAACAAGAATCACACATCCACTGTTTTGTTCAGAATAATTTTTTTTCTTGTTTTCCTCCTCTAAAAACTAGGTGGTTCTTATGGTCAGGTGAGTTTTATGGAGCGAGAAATACGGTAGATGGTCCACTTGGTGCCTCGGGTGGGCCAGGCAACTCCATCTTCCCCAGCTGCTTCAGGAAACCATTCCCATCTACCAAATTCTGCACCAAACAGATTGAAGGAGTGTATTCTAGCTATTTTACTAATTAAATTAATATACTGCCCTTTATCAAAAGATCTCAGGGTGGTTTACAGAATAAAATACAAGATAAAACATTCTGTCACAAGAGACTAGGGCCCTGCGGGACTTGACATCATTCCGCAGGGCCTGCAAGACAGAGCTGTTCCACCAGGCCTTTGGCCAAGGCACAGTCTGACTCCCTCCTTTGGTCATCCTCACAGAACTCTAGCCCAGTGGTTGCCATTGGTTTGATTTGAATTAATTTTATAATGAATGATTTTAGAGTGTTGTGTTGTTGTTGTGCTGTTGTACTGTTTTATTGTTGTTAGCCACCCTGAGCCCAGCTTCGGCTGGGGAGGGCGGGATATAAATAAAATTTATTATTATTATTACAATTCATAGCAATGTAATGTTGGAAGGGGTTCCATGGGCCATCTAGTCTGACCCCCTGCAACACAGGGATCATAGCTGAAGAAACCCTGACAAATGGCCACCCAACCTCTGCTTAGAAACCTCCAGGGAAGGAGAGGCCACCACCTTCTGCTGTGAATTCTTTGTGGCGCTTTAGCAGAAATGCTCAGAGTTTCAGGTTCTTCAGTGCAGTATATTTATTGTGAGCTATATATACAAATATCTACAGACTATAATACACGAGCAGTTCATACAGTCAAACAGAGTACCTGGCTGCACCTTAAGGCAAAGAGGAAGATTCTCTCTCTCTCTGACCACACTCCTCTACACCACCACCTTTACTGCTTTTTAAATCGATGACGTTCAATCATAGAATCATAGAGTTGGAAGAGACCACAAGGGCCATCGAGTCCAACCCCCTGCCAAGCAGGAAACACCATCACAGCACTCCTGACATATGGTTGTCAAGCCTCTGCTTAAAGACCTCCAAAGTAGGAGACTCCACCACACTCCTTGGCAGCAAATTCCACTGTCGAACAGCTCTTACTGTCAGGAAGTTCTTCCTAATGTTTAGGTGGAATCTTCTTTCTTGTAGTTTGGATCCATTGCTCCGTGTCCGCTTCTCTGGAGCAGCAGAAAACAACCTTTCTCCCTCCTCTATGTGACATCCTTTTATATATTTGAACATGGCTATCATATCACCCCTTAACCTCCTCTTCTCCAGGCTAAACATGCCCAGCTCCCTTAGCCGTTCCTCATAAGGCATCATTTCCAGGCCTTTGACCATTTTGGTTGCCCTCCTCTGGACACGTTCCAGTTTGTCAGTGTCCTTCAGCATCAACTGTCAGCATCTTTCTACTGAGTCTTTCTGACCCAGCACCTCCATAGAAAGCATTGCAGGCTGATTGCAACAGCCAGTTGCATTGGTTAGCAAACTCAAGCCTGCAGACTTACTATCTCACACAGCATTCTGTGAATCCTGATGGTCTATTCCACTCTGAAACAGCTCCTACTGTCAGAAAGTTCTCCCGAATGTTTAGCCGGAATACCTGCAAACTCAGCCTTAAATGTAGCTGAGAGGTGGCCCTTGGACCAGCTCCCATCCCCATTGCCATGGGAAGCAGTCCCTTCCTCCCATTCTTGCATTGAACCACCTGCCTTCCTCCACTGATGTTAACCTGTGCCCTGTCCGTCCCTACAGGATGTGGTGTGTGTGTGTTCAGGGGTTGTGTGAAGTAGCCCTTCTTACCTGGGAGGCTGGGGGTTGCAGAACCTCTCTGATCCATGGCCTGAAAGAAAGAAAAGAGGGAGCCTTGTGGGAGGCTGGTCTACTCTAAAGATGCGCCGAGGCATCTCCAGCCTTGAACATTTAATTTATTTATAAGAGCATTTATAAATCATTAACTCATTTAAAAATAACCCATTATGGTGGTGTACAATAAAATTCTTTAAACACCATAAAGTCATAGAAGACATATTTATGCTTGGATATATAAAATAAGCTGTTCCAGAAAATGATCAAGTAATAGTGTTTAACCTTATAACTGCTGCTACAATCACAATAGCTAAAAATGGAGAGAGAAAGCACACCATCAGTGATTTGTCAGTAGGAACTATGGTTAAGCTAAAGCTAACTCACCACAAAGGAATACCTATAAAAAACCAGACTAACGGTTTTGTGGAAAAAAAAATATTTTTTGTAATGTTTCGGAGCAACAAGTTCAGTGATAATCCCCAAACTTATGTTGCTTTCAAACCTGCTGTCACTGTATTTATTTATGCTCTTTATCTTTGGTTTGTTTAGTTTATTAATAAATAATAATTGACAAACCATAAAAGACAGAACAAATGGCCAACACTGAATCACATTAATTCTCTGAAAACACTTGGCTAAACAACTGTTTTTTTGTGGGTGAAAGGATATGAAAATGGTGGTTGCCTCTATGGCTTTCTGAGCACAAGGCATGGGCAGAGCTGCCTGGAGTAGACTCCATCATGGCATTTTGTGTCCCCCGCCCTTTTACAAAGTTGCACCCAGTGCCAAACCCCAGGGCAAAGGCAGACTGCTGCTAATAATTTCCCATTGGCAAAGTGCTGCCTCATAAATGGTCACTGCCGCACAGTGATGAAAACCATCCATGGCGAGTTAGTGGCTTGTCATCGAGGCCACCAAGAAGTTTGTGCTGAGGTCTCATTCCCTCTTCCCAGGCCTCCTCTCCCCACTTCTCTGGAAACTTTGGCTGAATCGAAACCCACAGGTAGAAAAGTGAAATAAAATAAGAATCCTTTGCCCCCAGCAGAGGGCAGTGTGGGAGTGCTCTTCGGGGCCAATCTGCTCCGCTGAGTGAATGGTCCAGCAATCTCTGCATCAAAGATGTTTCGGAGAAGAGCATTTGATGCAGCACACAAATGAAGGGTCTCTTAGCTGCCAGTTTCCCTCCTCAGGCTCTCAGAAGGTGGGGAGAGGCTTCAGGCTTCTGGCTGAAGTGAAGGAAACAGGGGTGTGCACAGGGGCGGAGGAAGGGGGCGGGCATTGGGGGCGGACCACCCTGGGTGTCTTCGCTGGGGGGTGACATTTGGCTCGCCGCCTGCCCCTGACTCCCAAACCTACCCTGAGTCTGCCATTTTTGGAGCAACAAGTTCAGTGATAATCTCATTGTATTTATTTGTGCTCTTTATCATTTGTTTGTTTAGTTTATTAATAAATAAAAATTAAAATACCATAAAAGTCAGAACAAATGGCCAACACCAAATCACATTCGGTGGGGAAGGAGAGGGAAGGAGGTTTGGGAGTCGCGGGTGGGTGGCACGCTGTATGTCCGCCATCGGTGTCTCGCTGCGCCCCTGGCTGCGGGGCACACGCACCATTCTGTGCAACTGAGTGGCTATTCCACGCCTGGGAGGGCACCTTCCATGCCCCACCCCCCTCGGGAGCGCCCCCGCCCTGGGCAGCTCCAACATATGCCCCACCACTGTGTGTGGCATCTGTAGGGGGTGGGCTTGCTCCTTTCCTGTCCGCAGAGGTAATGCCCATGTTCCAGAGGCAGGAAAGTCACCCTCCCACTTTCCCAGCTTCTCCACACCTGAACTTTAGGCTCCCTTTGCCTGCAGAATCCATGCGCCTCCAGCACCCACCCTAACCCAATTCTGCAGCATCGCTTAGGTACCCTCCTAAGGTCACGTTTATGAATATACTCACCCTCTGAAAAGTACAGTGGTACCTCGGGTTACAAACACCTTGGGTTACAAACACTTTGGGTTATGATTCGATAATCTTTCTTGCCATTGTCCCATTCAGAACAACGTAATAAATTTCATGTTTCATGACTGCTTGATATAAACAGAGACAACAAGTCCAGCTTTTCTTTGCAGCTGCCCCCCCCTTCTCTGCAGGTCACTCCCACTGTTCCCCCAAATCAAAACAGCCAGGCTAGAGGGGAGAGGGGAAGGTCACAGGCAGCCTAGACTTCTTTCTAGGCCAGGGGCCAGCCATTTTTTTTAGATGCAGGCCAGTCCACTGTCCCTCAGACCTTGTGGGAGCTTGTCCACTCCACTCTCTGGCCCACAGGAGCACCAGGGCAGTGGCGGCGGCAATGGCGGAGGGAAGATGAGCGGCGCAAAAGGGCCGGCTCCGGAGAGGGGCTGCTTAAAATGGCGCTCAGCCAGCTCAGCCCAGCCCCCTTCCTCCTCTAGGCAGGGCAGGGAGAATCTAGGAGGGAGGGAGGGAGGAGGCGGCGCCACAGTGTGTGTGTGTGGGGGGGGAATGGAACGGCGCAGAAAAATAATGGCACAACCCGAATGAACAGAATCCCCACGCCGATCCATGAACAGTCCACAGGCCGGATCCTGAAGGCAATTGGGCCTGATCCGCCCCCCTGGCCTTAGTTTGCCGACCCCTGTTCTAGACCAAAGAGGTCCTGCAGAAATGTATACAGGACAACACTGAACATGGTTTCCTGCAAACAGAATGTGCATTCATCACTTTCTGATCAAGGCTGAAGATCGCCAGGAAATGAGGCTCTTTGCGTTATTTACAGCGAAGGAGAGGGAAATTTCCGAGACTCTCTCCTGTCGGGAAGGGAGTCCTCCAGAGATAAAAGCTCATAAACATTTGAGGGGGGTGAGGCAACTTGGAGGGAACAGAAACTTCTCATTAGGCGCTCATCTTGGTTTGAGTCTTTTGGCACCCCTCCCTGCCTATTCATTTTATTGCACATTTTCTGTTTCATTTTCCCTAGCATTTGGCGAATAGGAGGCAACATGGTGGAAGTTTCTGCAATCATACGTGGCATGGAGAAAAGGGGTAGAGGAAAGTTTCTCTCTCCCTCTTGTGACGCTTGAGCTCATGGACAAGGCTGAATGTTGGAAGATTCACGAAAGAGAAAAGGAAGAGCCAGTGTGGTGTAGTGGTTAAGAGCGGTAGACTCGTAATCTGGTGAACCGGGTTCACTTTCCCGCTCTTCCACATGCAGCTGCTGGGTGACCTTGGGCTAGTCACACTTCTCTGAAGTCTCTCAGCCCCACTCACCTCACAGGGTGTTTGTTGTGGGGGAGGAAGGGAAAGGAGAATGTGAGCCGCTTTGAGACTCCTCAGGGTAGTGATAAAGCGGAATATCAAATCCAAACTCTTCTTCTTCTTCTTCACGCAGTGCATAGTTAAAACTGTGGAACTCACTGCCACTGGAAGCAGCGATGGCCACCCACTTGGATGACTTGAAAAGAGGATTGTACAAATTCATGGGAGAGAGGGCTGTCAATGGTTACAGGCCAGGATGGCTTTGTTCTGTCTCCACATTGGAGGCCACAATGCTTCTGAATTCCAGTTGCTGGAAAACACAGGAGGGGAGAGGGTTCTTGTGCTCGGATCCTGCCTGTGAGTTTCCCATTGGGGCATCTGCTTGGCCACTGTGAGAACAGGATGCAGGATTTGATGGGCCCCCTTTGGCCTGATGCAGCCAGGCTCTTCTTTTGCTCTTATGGAGCCTCCAGCTTCAGGAGCAGTCTATCACAAGTCCTAGGTTCTTAGGGTTCTTTGGCCACTGTGAGAACAGGATGCTGGACCAGAGGGGCCATTGGCCTCATCCAGCAGACTCTTCTTATGTACTTGGGCCATCATTTTATCTGTCATTTTGCTGGTTGTTCCAGCGGTTCTCAACCTGTGGGTCCCCAGATGTTGTTGGACTACAACTCCCATCATCCCTGAGCTCTGGCCTTGCTAGCTAGGGGTGGTGGGAGTTGTAGTTCAACAACATCTGGGGACCCACAGGTTGAGAAAGGCTGTCTGATATTCTTTTCCATGGTTGCTTTGTTACTATCATAAACCATTCTGAGAACTGAATAAAAAGAGAGGGGGTGTCGCTGAAACTTGCCTGGAACTCGACTGGAGAAGTTTAGAGAGAGCCGGGAGGTTTTCAGGGGTCAAGTGGAAGGTTTCTAATAGGAGGAAGAGGATCTTAGCTCCATTTAAAGAACTACAGTGGCCACCAACTCCTTTCAGGGAAGAATTCCAAGAGCTGGTTTTGATCTTGAAGTCTGAGATGGGCTAGAACTGAGATAGCTGGAGAACAGCCTGCTCTTGCATGCATCTGTCTTGAAGGCAGAAGTGTTGCTTTTGAGACCCTTTCCAAAATAGCTCCATCTTTCTGAGATCAGGTGGATGAGGACAAGGGACGCGGCCTTTTTGGTTGTGGTGCCCCACTTCTGGAACTTCCTTTCCTGGCCAGGCTTTGCTATCCTATCAGACTTCCTCTCTTATAGGAGGCAACTGGAAATGCTCTATTTTCTTTTTTAAATGCTTTTAATTGAGTTTGATGTGTGCATTGCTGAAGCTGATTTGGTGGCGGTTTTTAAGCGGCTAATTTTAATATTGGTTTTTACGTGACGGTTTTCAGTCGCCTAGTGAAACCTTATGACTCAAAGTGAGATAAAATCCCAGGGAAGGGCAAAACATTAAGACACAATTTAAAAGTAATTTAAAACAACTTCCAGCAATAAAAAATAAGTTACCTACACCTCACGTGTCAAGAGCCAGGGTGTGTCTTCAGCATGCTCAAGAAACTGTGCAATGAAGGGGCCAGGTGTACTTCTGCGGGGAGTTACACAGTTCAGGGGCCACCACAGAGAAGACCCTCTCCACCTGGGCAGCCACCCACTGAGCCTCTGAGGGTGGAGGAACTACCAAGAGGGCCCCCTCTGCCAATCACAGCACACCTGAGAGGGTCTGTAGCGAAGGACGTGGTGTTTCACAAAAGCACATCTCTACTCCCCCAGCACTGCATGTTCCCAGACAGAATCCTACCGCACCTGAGATGTGGCAGATTCTACACGCTACGTGGTCCATCCTTAAAATCCAGCTCACACCTCATGTCCACCTGTTGTGGTTTGCTGACTTTGGGAAGACCTGGGAGATCGCAAGTGACTCACCTCAAGGGGAAGGTTTCTGTGGGGCAGCCGGCCTCTTCTCTGGTGTGGTGGTTGAGAGACCCACCCAAGACAGGACCTCCCTTGGCCTCTTTCCCCAGCCTGTTCCTTGGAATGGCTCACCAGATGGATGTTGTCTTCTGGTTGCCAGGAGAGTGATGCTACCGGCTGGTCTTATGAGGTCACAGAGGAAGGTGGCTGATCATGGAACATGAAGGTGGAAAAGCAGAGATCTATATATTTATGTTGTTGTTGTTGTTTAGTCGTTTAGTCATGTCTGCCTCTTCGTGACCCCCTGGACCAGAGCACGCCAGGCCCTCCTGTCTTCCACTGCCTCCTGCAGTTTGGTCAAACTCATGCTGGTAGCTCTGAAAACACTGTCCAACCATCTTGTCCTCTGTCATCCCCTTCTCCTTGTGCCCTCCATCTTTCCCAACATCAGGGAGTCTTCTCTTCTCATGAGGTGGCAAAGTATTGGAGCCTCAGCTTCAGGATCTGTCCTTCCAGTGAGCACTCAGGGCTGATTTCATTCAGAATGGAGAGGTTTGACCTTCTTGCAGTCCATGGGACTCTCAAGAGTCTCTTCCAACACCAGAATTCAAAAGCATCAATTCTTCGGCGATCAGCCTTCTTTATGGTCCAGCTCTCACTTCCATACATCACTACCAGGAGCAGGAACCGGCAAGCCACTCCAGTATCCCTGCCAAGAAAACTCCATGGACAAAGACAACAGGCATATGTTTATATATTGGGGTTTTTTCCTAACCTCCTCCTCCCATTCACCACAGGGTCCCTTGGACGGGTTACAAGAAAGCAATCCTGCAATTTCAAATCCAATAAAGTTCTTCCTAAGATTTAATCAGAATCTACTTTCTTCTCATTTGAGTTGGCTTGGTTTTATTTGATTTTTGTTTGAAAGAATTGTAGAGTACGAAAGGGACACAAGAGTCCAACCCCCTGCAATGCAGGAATCTCAGCTAACAAATGGCTGTCCTACCTCTGCTTTAAAACTTCCAATGAAGGAGATTCCACCTGCTCCCAAGGGAGTTCATCCCACTCTTCTTAATGTCCGAAAGTTCTTTTTGATCTTGAGTTGGAATCTCCTTTCTTGTAACTTGAAGCCATGGGTTCGAGTCCTGCCCTCCAGGGCAGGAGAAAACAAGCATCCTCCATGTGGCAGCCCTTAAGATATTTGATGATGTCTATGATGTCTATCCTCGGGACGCGGGTGGCGCTGTGGGTAAAACCTCAGCGCCTAGGACTTGCCGATCGCATGGTCGGCAGTTCGAATCCCCGTGACGGGGTGAGCTCCCATCGTTTGGTCCCAGCTCCTGCCCACCTAGCAGTTCGAAAGCACCCTTAAGTGCAAGTAGATAAACATGTACCACTTTATAGCGGGAAGGTAAACGGCGTTTCCGTGTGCTGCTCTGGTGCCAGTTCGCCAGAGCAGCTTTGTCACGCTGGCCATGTGACCTGGAAGTGTCTGCGGACAGCGCTGGCTCCCGGCCTCTAGAGTGAGATGAGCGCACAACCCTAGAGTCTGTCAAGACTGGCCCGTACGGGCAGGGGTACCTTTACCTTTATCCTTTCTCCTGAGGGACGCGGGTGGTGCTGTGGATTAAACCACAGAGCCTAGGGCTTTCTAATCAGAAGGTCAGCGGTTCGAATCCCCACAATGGGCTGAGCTCCCATTGCTCGGTCCCTGCTCCTGCCAACCTAGCAGTTCGAAAGCACCCCAAAAAGTGCAAGTAGATAAATAGGTACCGCTCCGGTGGGAAGGTAAACGGTGTTTCCGTGCGCTGCTCTGGTTTGCCAGAAGCGGCTTAGTCCTGCTGGCCACATGACCCGGAAGCTGTATGCCGGCTCCCTTGGCCAATAAAGCAAGATGAGCGCCACAACCTGAGAGTCGGCCACGACTGGACCTAATGGTCAGGGGTCCCTTTACCTTTCTCCTTTCTCCTCTCAGTCTCCACTTCGCCATGCTAAACATACCCAGCTCCTTCAACCTTTCCCCGCAAGGTTTGGTTTCCAGACCCTTGATCATCATGGTTGCCCTCCTCTGCACATCTTCTAACTTGTCAATACCTTTCTCCAATTGTGGTGCCCAGAAGTGGACAAGGGACTCCAGGTGGGGTCTGATCAAGGCAAGAAGGCTGAGCTTCTTATCACCTGCTTACTGACCATTCATCCTGATTGTAGGATTGGATAGATCAGTTGGTACAGCATGCAACTCTTAATTTCAGGGCCATGGGTTCAAGCACCATGTTGGGCAGAAGATGGACTAGCTGACGCTCGTGGTCCCTTCCAATTCTATTATTTGTTTCCAGAGAGATTAGATACCACAGCACCAAAGCGAGTCTTATCCTGTCCTTTCCAGTGCGTTTTCCCAGCCCTTTGCTGATTGGATAAAGCCCACAATCTTTTGGAGGAAGTTTGTTGCACATCAGTATTGAATCAGCTATGATTGTGCCACCTGGGTTTGTGGGCATGTGAAGGAGTCCATCCCAAAATAGCAACATTCTCCCAGTGGCAGGAAGAGAGAATCCATCAAGTGTGGTTTAAGTGGGATCAAGGTCATTGTATTTGAGCTACATACACAGAGTCAAAGCAGGTCCTGTTATTCTCCACAGGGCCAACTTGGGAAGGGAGGGTGTTTTCTGGGCAGTCACCCAGATTGCTGAGCCTTGTGGTGCAGAGTCCAACTGAGGAACTCCTTTCTGCAGGAGGCAGTGATGACCATGACTTGGATGGCTTTAAAAGAGGATTAGACAAATTCATGGGAGAGGAGAGGCCTATCGATGGCTCCAAGCCACAATGGCTATTCTTTGCCTCCAAAGTTGGGAGGCAGCAATACTGAATACCAGATGCTGGAAACCACAGGAGGGCAGAGCTGCTCTTGGGCTTGAATCCTGCTTGTTGGTTTCCCACAGGCAGCCGGATGGCCACAGATGCTAAGGGCCTGATCCAGCGGGTCCTTCTTGTATTCCTAGGTTCTTAACGTTGCCATGGACTTGGATGTAAAGACCACGGACTCAGCTGCATTAGTCAAAAACCAGCATTTTAAGTGCATTATAAACATGCAGCACTAGATGGTGCTGTAGAGCACAAAACTTTTCTATGCGATTTTACAGAGCGGTTTTTTTCTTACAATGATTTAATTTACGACTTATTTATAGCATTTTCCCAACGTGTGTAGATCCACCCCATCTCTTCCTCCATTCTGCTATGAGTCAAGCCCCACCACCAAGTGTTGCGTAGGGGTTAGGATGTTGGACCAAGACCTGGGAGACCAGGGTCCCAATCCCCACCCATAAAACTCACTGGGTGACCTGGGGGGGGGCAAGTTCAAATCCCCACTTGGCCATGAAGCTCTCTAGGTGACCTTGGAGGCTAGTCACTGTCTCTCAGCCTAGACTACCTCACAGGAGATTAAAGGAGTCGAGTGACTCACCTTGAGCAGGCACCCCCAAACTCGGCCCTCCAGCTGTTTTGGGACTACAACTCCCATCATCCCTAGCTAACAGGACCAGTGGTCAGGGATGATGGGAATTGTAGTCCCAAAACAGCTGGAGGGCTGAATTTGGGGGTGCCTGACCCTGAGCTAGAAATGCAACAAAAATAATCTCTCTCCCACCTTCAGACAGAGAAGGTGCCTAGGCTGCTTCTGGGGACTCCAGCAAGTGATCCAAGCAGTCATCGAAAAAAGGGACCTCCATATCCTTCATCATATCCTCCATATCTGTCTCTGTCCAGCCTGGCCTGTTTCTGCCCCCTCCTGCCCATCTCTGACCCAGCTCCCTGACAGGTGCTTTCCATACATAAAGGTAAAGGGACCCCTGACCATTAGGTCCAGTCATGGCCGACTTTGGGGTTGCGGTGCTCATCTCGCTTTATTGGCCGAGGGAGCTGGCGTGCAGCTTCTGGGTCATGTGGCCAGCATAACTAAGCCGCTTCTGGCGAACCAGAGCAGTGCACGGAAACGCCGTTTACCTTCCCGCTGGAGCGGTACCTATTTATCTACTTGCACTTTGACGTGCTTTCGAACTGCTAGGTTGGCAGGAGCAGGGACCGAGAAACGGGAGCTCACCCCATCACGGGGATTCAAACCGCGACCTTCTGATCCGCAAGTCCTAGGCTCTGTGGTTTAACCCCACAGTGCCACAAGCGTCCCTTTTCCATACATACTTTTAAAAGAAAAAAAGAGCCCCCCCCTATGAGCAGATACTAAGGGGTTGACCACACTAGTCCCGTGGATCCAAGCAGTCTCCCCCCTTGCTCTGCTCTTTCCCCAGGGGAAACCTGTTCTTTATTGCTAAATCAGAGCAAATGGCAATCTGGAGAAAACCTGGGTTTCTGTTAGCTCTGATGGAGGCATAAATAGTGGCTTTCCTCAGGGGAAAGCAGCGGGGCGAAAGGAAATGAGGATAAGTCCCGACAGAGAACTGAGTGGGCAAAGGACATCCTGTGACTCCTTGGTTGGCAGAAGCCAAAGTTGGGGCAGAGGGATCAAGTGTGAACATGCCATAGTTGCCCAGAGAGGGAGGGGGTGTAACCACAAACTTCCCTATATAGGTAATTTAGGTCACTAGGCTGAGGAACATGTCCCAGGAGGTGCTGGAAACATGTTGCAGTTTCTTCCAGAATGAAATACGAGACTGGAGATTTGGCAAAGATTGTGAAAGCCGGCTCGCTTTATCTTTATTTAACAAAGTGTATACACCGCTTGATTGTAAGGAAACTTGTAAGCGGTTCGCAAACAGTCTAAACTTCTTGACACCAGCTTGTCGCTGGCATCTTCATTTCAGTACTTTGGTGCTCACTGCAAAGGTAAAGGTAAATGGACCCTTGACCAATAGGTCCAGTCGTGGCCGACTCTGGGGTTGCGGCGCTCATCTCGCTTTATTGGCCGAGGGAGCCGGCATACAGCATCCGGGTCATGTGGCCAGCATGACTAAGCCGCTTCTGGCGAACCAGAGCAGCGCACGAAAATGGCATTTACCTTCCCGCTGGAGCAATACCTATTTATCTACTTGCACTTTGACGTGCTTTCGAACTGCTAGGTTGGCAGGAGCAGAGACTGAGCAACGGGAGCTCACCCCTTCA